GGTGAACAGAAAAAAGAAGTTGTACATTTAAAGGGCATCTTTGGGTCGCATTTTTTTCACCCAATTGCAACAGATAACTAATGCAACATTTTGTACCTTTTTCTATGAAATTTGGAGTACACACATGATAACCATAATATTAGAGGTCCACTGAAATTACAGATATCGTTTTTCAGATTTTATCAACCTTTTTTTTTCAGAAACTGCAAAATGCACCTTTCAAAGAGAATACTCACCATAAATACCTAAGGAACTGAAATAATACTCCCAGAAACATTTAACATTTTAACACAGCTGTCAAGCAAAAAATAATTATTTTTTAAATCAAAAGTCGATCTTCACATCCGTTAAGAATAATTTTATTATTAACATACCCTATGAATACAATTTCAAACAAAAACTTAAAAAAAAGCATTATTCTTTATCAGGAACTTAATGCACAAATTTTTATATACATCAACAGGCGTTTATACATAAATATATCTACAGGGAGAACCTCTCCTTGGGAAAGTATGTAAGTGACTGTTTAAATCTAGAGTTGGACACTAAATTCACTGTTTCTGATTTTTAGCCATGAATGGAATGAAAACAAATTCAAATTAACCCACGGCAATGCTTTAATTTTCTCTGTAAAAATGTGGTTTAGATTTATCACAATCTTAATTGCTATAAAAAAGAAAAATAAGTCAAATTCTATAACAAAACAAAAATACAAATATTTCATCCTGTTTTTTAGAAATAATTTAAATGCATAAAAATATATATTTCACTGTAATAATGAAGACATCATCATTGTAAACATATTCCACAGATTAGATTTAACCTATATACCTGCTCAGTTAAACACATAAATTTGACCATTTGCATCCTTCTAACCAAAGAATTCTTAAGGTTTAGGTCAATAACTTATGTCCCATGCTTCAGCATTTAGATGTAGAGCTTAGGGATATGGTCTAGTGGGGACTGTTAGGGTTAGGTCAGAGGTTGGACTCGATGATCTTGAGGTCTCTTCCAACCTAGAAATTCTGTGATTCTATGATTTAAATCCTGATACAAACCTGAATAGTATAAAGTGTTCAGTTCACTAATTTACCTATCTATATGCATCTTGTTAAATATATGATGACTCCTGACTCCAATTCATATAATTCATACCTTAAGTATGCTTTTAACTATTCTATTGAACAAAAATACTTTTCTGAATCATGGACCAGAGTATCTGCACTTTGCTTGTTAACTGCTCTTTAACAGTTCATTAGGATATCCTTTCTACTGTATGCACTGCTGGTCTCAAGGATGCAATATAATAATAAATAAATAAATCAAAAATGCAAAGAATTTTCTTCTCTGTCCTGTGGAACTACATTTAATGCTGCAGGCATGGATTCAATAGAGATAATGATGAGTCAATGTTACCTTTAAATATAATCAGCTACTCAGTAATAAAGAAAAATAACACTGACAGGTATAATTTAGAATGACACATAAAAAATATGAATAAACCATCAAAAGTGTATGTACATTTAATACGTAGGTGATACTAGGAAATAGTGTACATAAATAAAATACCATCTAACTTAAAAAATATATATATTTTCAAATCATGTCTTTCTTATGTTTAAAGATAGCCTTGTATTTAGCCTTTACTTTCATAACATATAATGAAAGTTTTGGATTCATTTTGAACTCCTATGAACATAAATATCTCCATCTTGGCTTAACTCTTCCTTAATCTTGACCTTGCTGAAGTGAAGCTCTAAGGCTGATGAAGCCAAGGTGATGAAGAATATAAATTACAAATGCAAATGTGCTGTGCATCTTGCTTGTAATCACACGCTATGCCCAATGATTTATCCATACTAGGCTTGGTTACTCTAGTTGCACCACCTTCGTGGATGACTGGAGTCAGCATAGGAAAAAAGACTTCTGCGGGCATTATCACATATGCTTCCGTATCAAACCAGCTTTGTCTGGCATATATGTGTAAGTGAAACTGCTGTAAGCCCTCATCAAACTGGCACTGTGTCCTCCAAACAGATGGTCCTGAATGGAGGCAGCCAGGATGTGGTACTTGGACACAGTCCGTGTTTGGAGAGCGCAGAGTTTCAAGCCAAAAATGTTTCAATGGCTGAACGTCCTGAGTTTGTTCCAATCCTGCCACGTTATATGGCATCTCCCCTCAGAAATGGGCTAAACTCATAAAATAACAAGTCACCCTTTATCACAGGAGGTGGGAAAATGCTTTCCAATTAAAGTTTTAACCAATTTTGGCTCTCCTTTGCAAAACTGGCAAAATGCAAACTATCCCTATTACACCAGCTTTTATTCAATTTTATTTAACTATTTTTGTCATGCCTCATTGATCTGAACCCACTGTTCTGTTTCATCACTGCTGCTTGTCTGACTCCACATGTTATATGAGATATGAGCAGAGCTCACAGCAGTAGTCAGATTATTACAGCAATGCTCACAGAAATGGAAAGCTGCATCAAGGTAACCAAATGTGACTGCTAACTTCATAACTTTGCAACATGAAACAGAAATTCAGTTCCTTGACCAGAGGAACATAAAGTTTTTACAATTAACACATACAGCACTGTATGCAATAAAAGTCACTTGTACCTACAATCAAAGTTCATAAAAAATATTTTAGTAATTACAGATGGGAATAACAGACACTAGATGGAAAGATATAATCACAGAAAAGCTTGTACAATTTATCTCTATATTGTTTACAAGGATTCCTTTAAGTACATTTAATGGATCTGACATATTTTCTTACAGGTTCACTGTACATCAAGTAAGCCTGAATGAACCGATTCCTTTCAAAGTTCAGGATACTCAGCTACACACACCATAAGAATAGGAGTTGGCAGTGCTCAATGAATCATAGAATCACTTATGCTGAAGGACACCTCAGGAGCTGACCTACTCCAGACCCCCCACAGTGAAAGCAGGGCCAAGGTTCTCATCTTTATGACAGATGTGCAACTGATGAAGTATCTATACAGCTTTCTTCATACTTTGTCAGGTGTGCCAGTGTCTTTATACCATTCACTGATTCAGCCATGAACACTGTATAGGAGCTTACTGTGATACAGCATTGTCTCTGGTTATAACTATTACTCACTTTAGAGCTTCCTTCGGCAAAAGGCTACAAGATGTTGCAAATATCTTTCGAGGACAGATTTTCAAATCTGCGGTATACCACTGACACCTTAAGTTGTTGTTGCACTCATTACTCTACAAATAAACACAGTTAGTTCATGAAAAACTGCCTAGATACAAAACTGTGCATACAAGTATTTGATTTATAAAACCACAGCTAACTTTGATTCAAAGCACTGTCCTAAAAAGGGCAGTAGGTATCTTGTTGGTGATTAACTGTATAAACTACATTCCTTAGACCTCAATGGTTATATTAGTATTTTTTTATTATTATTATGTATTTCCTTTCTTCATATGGTTTATTATGCTGTGTATTCATGGAACCTATTAATGCTCCATCTACAATAACACAACTGGCATAAAAACATCTATTCACTTTCTTCTGCAGAAACAATATCATAAAAGAGAATCATCATGTTGAAATATATCTAAGTGCAGTAACACAGGAAACTTGAAGGAGTCTTTCTAATTGGATACTGGCATAGACAATCTATTCAGTGTTCACTAGATATCATCTGAAACTAGATTACCAACTTCAGGTATTATACTTCAAGCAAAACATGGGCCCACAAAAGAAAATGCAGAGAAGAAAAAGTACTGTCTGAGATCTACTAAAGCATGAGGCTGGACACATTGCCAAGTAAAAGCAAATATTCACAATTTACACTGAGGCACAGCAAGAAGAGGGGCTGATGAGTAAATAGATGGTGTCAGTGGTTCTGAGTCCTTTAAGGAGCAGGGCATGCACCAAGTATCATAACATAGCGCTCTGCCTTTTCTTGCATAAAAGGTTACATGAAACAGGTAGATTTATTCTAGGGAAGAGGAGATGCATAGAAGATTTATCATAGGAACACAGTACTTCTACAGCTATGTAAAGATTGCCTCAGCAAAAAACAAACTAGTCCCCCTGTCCACGTCCACCCGAAATTCACAGAGAGGGTGGTTGCACACTGGAACAGGCTCCCCAGGGAAGTGGTCACTGCACCGAGCCTGTCTGAATTTAAGAAGAGATTGGACTGTGCGCTTAGTCACATGGTCTGAACTTTTGGGTAGACCTGTGCGGTGTCAAGAGTTGGACTTGATGATCCTTAAGGGTCCCTTCCAACTCAGGATATTCTATGATTCTATGATTCTATGAAACTACTACTAAATGACCCTTAGGCCATCTTGCAAGGCACTGCCCGCTCCCATGCAATGGTTCTACTTTACTGATTGTCCCCTTTATTTTTCAGAGCAGTTTTCCAAGATCAGTCTATCATTGTCCCCAAAAGGTTATTTTTGCTAGATAAATGCCAATGTAATACTTAACTGTGTTGGGCTACACTGATTTAGATCTAATGTTATTGTAACAAACATTACGAATCACTCTCTGCAACTAGGCAAAGTCAGTCATGCTGTATGATGAATTACTGTGCAAGGAAAAGATATGTTTGGTTTATATATCCGTTTATATATTTTTTTTATCCTTTGCGTTATTAAACTTAAGTGCATAAATAGGTATCTTATATCATAGTTTTGTTTTCACAAGTAATGTTCAGGGCTTTGTTTAAAACACAACTGTCTTACTGCAGTACAATTTTTTTTTTTGTGAAACTATTACTTAACAGTAAAACTTCAAGTGAAGGTCCTAAAGACTTTAAAAGATTATAGATTTTAAATTCAATACAAAGGCACGTGGATCACTTGGACATTTACAGAAAGGCTTAAAGACCGTGTGATACTGAAAGAATTAACTAGAATTAATTCTGAGTTTAAAGAACATTTAATTTTTTTTTAAATCATGTACAATACAGTACTATATATTTAAATAACATAAATATATATTTTACCTGCTTGGTCTTTAAACATTTTTGATATGACGACAGGCACTTTGTGCTCAGCACCACCCTGTAAAAGATGCATAATAATCATGAGATCTCAATTAAGGCTGAAGTGAACCAGTCATACTGAAAATTAAAAGAAGAAGTAAGAAGTTATTGATACCTTTATGCTTAAGCCCAAGCCACCAACTGGTTGTCTACGAAGTGTAACAGTTCTGTGCTTTAAAAAATTGTAGAAAAAATACATTTAGGTGAAAACACAATATCTGAATAAGTACAGAAGATGCTTTAGAGTTCATTCTACTCAAACAAATTATGATTTTCAAAGGTACCCTGGAAACTAAACATTCAAGTTCTGTTTTGAAGTATCATTCAACACTGATTTATAGGCACTTATATATAGGCACTCTCCTTAACACAGAGAACAGAACTTTTGTATGAATTCTGCATGCAGACTTATTATTATTTATTACCACTGATGTGATACTCTTCCTAAAAACAAACTTTTACACACTTTTTCTTTGTTTTGACAAATGTTTTCACAAGAACAGCTATGAACAGCTTTGGGATGCACATTTTCATAGCTGATTTATCTTCTTTAGTTGCTATCGGGTATACACATTACATTTATTCTCATATTTCAATCGCAAATACTAATGTCTTCTAATCCATATCTTCAGCCATATATCTTTTTTTTTTTTTTACAGCATATGCTAAAAGACTTTTTATGATTGTCCACTTCAAATGGTTATTTTCTTGCGTTTCATGTTTAACTGCATAAAGAAGATAAACATTTATCAATACTTTTCCGTATCAACCTATCATATGTTTAATAGTACACTGAATTTGGCATTGCTTTAATGTGCAAATCTTGGTGCCTGACAACACAATGATATCAATTCATTCATTGACACTAATCACAGAGTTGGTGAGAACTGTTTTGCAACGTGCTGAACAATAGTGTATATAATGCCACTGTTCAAGACTGGAACTGTAATTCGCGAACATGTAAAATTAAATGGTTTTTTTTTTTGTATATGATTTCTGATGTACAGAATGACAAGATTACATTATATGGATACCTACTGATCAGATATTTTATGATTTCTCTAATTCTGATAAATGGATTTTTTGATTTTAATACTGAAGCCCATAAACACATATTAACAAGGTATTTTTAGCTTTTTCTTTTTTCTAAAACCCACCTTGCCATACTTAGATTTATGCTAACTCAGGGAAAGAGGGAATACAATGCATCATTGATTTCAGTCTCATTTTAGGAAGGTAAAACAAAAGCACATGGGAAGGGAAAAAAAAAGAAAAAAGAAAAAAAAAAGGTAACTTTCACACATTTCCAAAATTTTTTTCTTCTGTTACCATGAACATTGTATCACAGCAGTCTGTGCTAAAAATGGACAACTAATTTAAGTGTTGACATATAGTATCTGGTTTACATCAAAAGTTGTGTATGTTTCAATCTCAGACCATATAATACAGCTTTATTGAAATCTGCACTACTTTAAATTGCTTTATTGGTACACTTCTTCATTTTGAACTGACTCAAAACTTTCAATCAAAATATTCAAATGCACTAAGAAAGTTCAGATCCAATCTGAATTAGAATACATGTTTCTGCCTTCATGGTCAGAATAGTCATTTTCTATGACATAAATCCTGTTTAATTACTGTGTTTCTCTCCACTTATACTCACAACCTGTAAACTAATTATCACAATCTATCCCATCACATAAGAATGATGGAATAAATGCTTTAACAGCTTGATTGCTTGAGCATTATTGGGCTTGAAATACACTTACACTACATAGATAGCCTTGGCCTTTTTATAAAAGACAAGCAAGGTACTACGTAATGCTATTGTGTCCACTCAACTATAACTAACATTCCTATTTTTATACAGTAGATACATTTCACATGATAATACTGATTCTATAAATTAGTTTATAGCTCTACAAAGCACTCTATTTGCATAATATATTTTTTATAAGTTTGGCATTTGTGTTTTCATAGCTCATAGCATAGCTCATTACAGAGCTTCAAATATTTCTGTTGAAGAATGCTTTCAGAGAAATTATGTACCTAAAAGTTTCTTACAAAACAGCTTTTAAAATTAGAGCTACTTGCAAAAACGCAAAGATCTCCTACATTTGAAGATGTTCATATTGCAAATTAAAATGTTGTAAGCTGAGCAGTATCATAACCAAGATCATTTACACAAATTTATTCAATCCTATGATCACATATAGTTCACTATGATTGCAAACGATAGTTATATAAGACCAAACACCACATTCCGTTTTCTATAGATAGATTTTTGTTACTGATTTTGAATTTTTAAAAATGTAATAGTGTCCAATTCCAGAAAATCAGAAGAAATATAATACTGGACCAATACTGAAAAATTATAAATACAGCTGGGGATCTTCACTATATGCTTAAAGGTCAGATAATACTAGATCTGACAATAAATAACCCATTCCGTTATGGAATAAATGTAACCTACTTCATAAAAAATTAAAGGTAAGTAATTTTAAGGGGGAATAATGTGGAAAATATATTTTCAAATGAAACTGATGACAGAGTACCAGTGTTGTAACAACCCTTAAAATGAAGGAATCTGATAACACATAAAAACTTGATTAAAAACATAAAATATATGAAATAGTATGCTATATTTTTACTCTATTATTATATTTTTATTATTTTTATTATTTTTATTTACTTATTTAAGTTGACAACAATATTTCAAATCAAAATGTAATTAAGATAAAGTTACTATTTATTGACATTTGGTGAAGTAATGACAGTACTTGTTTTAAATATATATATATATATATATATTTATATATATATATAAAATCAGTGATCTGAAGAAAACCTAAATTAATTACAATGATGCTTGTAAGTGACACAACAGTTGTGAGAAAGTAATTATGAACAGAACAGAGTCTGAGTATACAGCAATTCAAGGTCATTCTGGTAAGCTGGAAAACAGTTCAAACAAATAGGGAAAAGCATTCAACCAAGTCATACTCAGTACACGAAAAAACAACTTCCCTGCATAAAGCTATGGCCAAAAGCACTAGAGTAATTTTATATCATCAAAAGACTATTAACTAGGAGTAGAGAGACTATAAATTATTTCTCTGTCAAGATATCCACACAGTTGAAATAATACAGCCAGTGCTGATACGTTCATTTTCAAAATAATCCAAATAAATTGCTGTGGTAGCAGGCAAGAGCCACCAGTACTTTGAGACATTCATCTAGAAATGCAACAAATACCAGGAGTGAAGTATATTTAGCTTTTCAAAGCACTTTTCAGGGATGATCAAGCACAGGCTTAAAGCATCTTCTTGGCAGAAGATGACCAAATCACACACACTGACACAATAAAAATTTCAATGACTTGAAGTTCAAAACAGACACATTCAGGCTACAGACACAAGACATGATTTTAAACTTTAGTGGCATGATGCATCTTAATTGGATTTAAAAAACAACCAACCAACCAAACAAAAACAACAATGAAAAACACTTTAAAATAGTAGTATGATCTTGAGACTTTCCAGTGCACAGATATTTCTTCTTTTATCTCTATTTAAAGCATAATTTGTCACGTTATTCCACGAACAAAGATTTAATTTAGCTCTAATTGTAGGATTACTAAAATACCCAATGGGATTTTTTATGGCAGTAACCTGAACAGTGTTTAGTTTTTTCCACATCAGTGAAATTAGTTTCACAGCCTGCCACAAGTACGCTCTTTCTACAGAGAAGTAATGCAGACACACAAAGATTTAGGGTCAATGAATTGTTTTACTGATTTGAAATGCCTGAATCCTTTTTTAAGTATTTAATTTTCGTATGAACTTTATCTGTTTGAAATGTCTTGTGGACAAACTGCAATCTCAGCTTTGAATGTTCAGCACTTGAGCACATTTTAGTTTTATATCATATGAGAAGTACCTAATTCCTGATCAGCAGTGTGAAGTATTATGTATATGACACAGCTAGGACCACACGGCACCTTTATTTCCAGAGAAGAATCATTCATGAGGTGTTGGGACTACTCTTCACTGCATGTCTTCCAACATTAAAAAAACAACACAGGGCCAAGACTCAAAAGACAGCAGCTTATATAATTGTAATTTTCTAATACTTGACTTTGCAACTTTGTTTTAAAGGCAGAAATTAAAATAAAATAAAATAAAAAGGGGGGGGGGGGAAGTCCACAAATTCACATGGTTCACTACAGGTTGGTTTCCATTTAGTCAGTTGTTTGAACCCTTAAATTCATAGTGTAGATGCCCACTGCTTAAGAAAAAAAATCTGTAAGTAAATTAGGAGGGATTCACCTTTAGATACCTGCAGAAAGCAAGACACTATCAAATTAATTATCAGGTTTTGTAGGCAAACATGTTAAAAGAGTAATTATTCTTTTCCATTTGACCACTTCTCCCTGCCCCCTCTCACTTCTGTTGTGGTTCTGTTCCCTTCTCAGGACCCTTCTTTGCTTTTGTTCTTCCCCACCCCGTAACTCAAAATTCTGGAAGCTTTTTTTCACTTTTCATTCAAACCAAACAGCACTCCTCTCTATTATGAAACTCATTTACAGTAAATAAACAGGGAGGAAAAAAAAAGTTATCAATGTACATTAACTACATGCACAGATTTAAATTAAAGTATTTCTAACATACCCCTACAATATTGGTAGTCATGTACAGCAAAAAACATACTCACTAATATGAATTTTATTTTACATGTATTATATGTTATTTAAATTCTGATAGAAAAGTATATAAAATTCTGGCAGCTGTTACAGAATGAGCAAAGTCCTTGGTCCAAATAACATGAAAGATTTTTCTCTTAATATGTTCTAAATGATGATGCATCTCTACTGCCAGCTAACAACACTATCTGCCAAAGCAGATTGTGCTGGCTGTGCTCTTGATTGACTACTGGTAGCAGAACTCCTGAATATGGATTACCATACAGGTAATTCTACCTGTTTACCTCTGCTTTTCCCCTCAAGCTGTCAGCTGTGCAGAACTGGGAAGGACAAGACTAACTGATGACATTACCAATACTCGTTTGTATTACACCCTAATCTGTTACACAAATGTGGATTACATATCCAACTGACATGTTTCAGTATGGTTAAAAAGATCTGTATGAAAACAGAACTGTCTGCACACATAT